CATCCCTGTGTCCTGACACGCTGCTGCTGCAGTGGCTGGCAGACAGCACAGGCTACCCCCCATTAAACAGGAGGGGATCAGGTGATTCAGTAGCTGAAGCTTGGTGTGGTGCTTTGCAGCTGCGCTCTTGATACACAAGTTCAACAATGTTGTAGGTAAAGATTGGCAAAGTTATCACCAGCTATACTTGGATTCATGGTTTGAGAATTGCCAGTATAGAACCAGTATATCCAGCATTTCAGAAATACTGAGGTCTTAACTTTAAGTGTCTGCTGAGGCTCAAATTAAGCATATGGAGCCTGATGGAGATAAAAACACACACAATGTCATTTGACTGATATGCTTAGTGAAATAAAACAAGACTGCAGTACTTCATTGACCTGGGCATCACATTTCAGCTCAGAATAAAAAGAGATAACACCTAGATTGTATCCTTTCATTTACCCAGAGCACCGGGGCATTAGACTGTATTTATGTTAACAGTGCAGGTACCAGGGGAAGGAGTAATTATAGGGATTTTTGGTTTAGAGTCATTCAAGTGGACCTTCAGCACTTCAGCGATGTAAGACACAGCAGAGTACTGAACCACTCACTAAACCCCACCCCTGTCTCTCTTGAGCCTGTCCAATCAAACACAGAATAATGTCCACAAATGTAACATCAGCAGATTTACCATTTAAAATTTATAGTGATTTTTGAATGTCAAACATGTCAGTAGATTTTTTTAGATGATTTTTTTTTCTCGGATGTAGCTTGTTAATAATAAAACGTTGGTTGAGATCAGTTGACAATCAGTTGTATATCATTTACATCACAATGGCAGTGGCGAGGCGCAGCATGCAGATAGAGGATAACAAGTAAACGAAGATGATACTTGAGGGACGCCACTAAAAAGAACAGCATTAGAGAAGGTTTTCAACTGAAGTCACAAGAACAACTGAATTCAAGTAATAAGAGGTTTAACTTACTAACATTATAAATTATGTCTAAAAACAAGCAAGAAAAAACCTGCAGGCATCACCTTGTTGTCCTAAACAGCAGAAAACAGCTTGAAAAGTTGAAAAAGATTCATATCTTTTTTTCAGGTTGACACTACAGTAGCCAGCTGTTATTGTCCCCCAATTCTCCATTCATTGCACATAGCTGTTCACAGATATTGACTTGCTTCACTGCAGCTTTTAAAACCTGCAGTGTCAGAGGAAAGCAAGGGAGGTGAAAGGAGTCAGACTTGTTCATTTGTTATCTGTATGCATGTGTTTGTGTGTGGGTGAAGAAGACGAGAGCTACAGCAAATGAGAGTCTGGTCTCCCCTGCAGACTCATTGTTGCGGCTATAAAGTTCTAAGATGGTAGTCACGCTCTGTGTGTGCGAGACACTGGTTTAGTGTTATCACAGCAATAATGGAGACTGGTGGGAATGCAGCAGTCTCTCGCTCAGCCTCAGTTGCTCTGTTACAGGCGTCTGTCAAACTTGGGCTGTTCAGTTTTGCATCTATCAGCATTCAGACATTGAGAGAACTCTCGGTTTCGTCCAAAGATGATTAGCATTGAGCTTCAGTCATGCTCCCAGCCATGTGCGGCTCTCCCTCCCACCGTTTGACTTACCCATTAAGGCTCCTGCAGTGTTCAGGCTCTCCTTCTTCCTCTGTCCTCTGGATAGGGTTTCACCAGCAGTTTGTAAAGCAATCTCTTAGTTTGAATGTATCCTACAGTTTTAGTGACAAGAGTGAGCAGGAAACAGTGTCAGTGTTAGTGCCGGATTTTGATTTAGCTTCAGTATTTTGGACAGAAACTGAAACATGAGAGAGAAAGAAGACATCAGATAATATTGCAGCGGTATTTCACTATATAATTCAACGATTATTTGGATGATAAATGAATCTGTCAATTATTTATTTGATTATTAATCGGATAGAAAAACAAAAGCCAACTTATGCAATGCTGCTTTTGTGTGTATTACAGACATCTGCTACTTTATTATGATGATATTCCAGATTCAGATATCTACTAGTTATAATTCAAGTTCATGATACATTCTGACAACCTCAAACTTAATTTAAGGTATCTTAAAGCTGAGCCACAGTGTGTGCCATGTAAATAACAGACCTGACTAATCAATGACTAAATTAGTTGCCACCTATTTTTAGAATCAATTAATTATTGCAGCCCTAATTTCTATCAGCTTCCTTCTGATAACCAAGTGACAGCCACAACGATGTCAATATGCCATATCAGCGTCTGAACAAGAGATATTCTGAGCTCTTGCTTTTGGTTAGTTCACCCTACAGTTAAATGGTGTAAATATTAAATAACACATAACCACAAAATACATTTTATGGTGAGGTCTGTGTGAAGTAAGTGATGCATAAATCTCCACTTGAACTAAAGACCTGCACATAAGTTTGGACTCAGTTGTAGGAGGCTGAACAAGTAGATTCATTAAAATATTTGTTCTAGGATTCTAAATATGCGGATTCACTGCTTTCTGTTTTAAATGAATGGAAATGTGTGTGTTTTTGTTCGGGAAAATAGGTTGAATACCATATTTGAAGATGGAAATTGTATCTGTTAATCATGAAAATGCTCAGGTCGTCCCAGTGGACTACCGGTTGGGACACATGCTATGGGCTGTGGCATCCCTGGCTTGGATCCAGCAAGTACACACACACACACACACACACCTATACAAATACACACATGTCAGAATCCTTCTTCAGAGATAAGAACCAGGGACACTTAACCAGATGGGCTCATTGCTATTATCCACCTCCACCTGCCAGCAATCAATCACTCTAATGAATCTGCAAGCTTTTCCAATCATGTCTGGAAAATAACATGCTGTTTGGTAACTAGTGAAGGGAAACACACGCATACGCCCCTGATGTAACGCTGGTGTGAATTCCCTCTCACTCCACACCCTCTAAACCAACTGACACTAACTAATTGACTTGCAGAACAGCTTAATAAAACTAAAAGCAGAAAGAGCCATCTAGCCGACTCATTACATTGGCCTAATCCTTTATAGGTAATTAACTTTTTTCCCCTTTCTGTCAAACAAAGGGAAATTTATAATACCGTCAATCCCCTCTTACTTCCCTGTCCACCTACAGTGCTCTAACTGAAAGGAATATTTTAAAGCTGATGTCCACAGAGAAACAACCGCCCAATCCATCTTTCACTCTTACTGAAATATTTACGTAGCTGAGGAACATTAAATGAATTGTAGTGTTCAGAAATTTATAAGACAATCTCCCCCACCCCCACCCTCCACCTCAAATGTATGTTACTCATTCTTGTCACACAAAAAATTGTTAAGCAGCCTTGCCAGTGCTCTGGAATCAGAGGATTTCCTTACATGTTTGCTGGGACTGCTGACACTGTGATACCAGCTGGTTCACTAAAAACACCCTCAAATATGTAAAAATCACATGTGACATGTATTAAAATTGGAACTGTGAAGAGCCACTGGTTCTAGAAGTACTTTGCCCCACTGCAAATCCTTTTCTCCTCTCCCTTCATGACGTTCACCCTCCCTGGCAGTGAAACAATCTGTTTAAAATTTTCATGCAAAACCCATGAGCCCTGGCTGCAGTGGATGTGCAGAGGAAGTCTGACAGAGGCATGAATCAAGAGTGTATTAAAAATATAATGAGTTGTTGCAGTTTGGGCCAAAACACAACACCATAGGGGCCAAAGACAGCAACACCTCTGCAGAACTCATCCCAGAATCGATCATTTATTCAGTTTAATTCATTCAAGTTTTTCTCACTGGTACTGGCACATGTAACAGAATTTTTAAGCTAGTAATATTCAATGCTCGACTTCAAAGGAGGAAAAACACAGCTGCACTGGCCTCTGTGAGTTGAAAGTTACTTGCCTGTTGAACCGCACCAGGCTTCACAGCTTCATGTTCTGACCACATCCACCTGGGACGCAAAGCTGCTCTCACCAAATTACTGCTGCACGGGGTTCATCGTCACTGGTTGATGTGAGCTGGATAATTACGCTTGAGCTTCTCAGGCATAAAGTTTGGAAGATGTCGGCACAGTGGGGTTCATACTTTCTTTTGGGGTTTCCGCTGCACGCTGCAGGCAGGATGTAACATTTATATTCCACTGCAGAGATCAAGTGCCTTGTCTTTGTAAATTGACATCTTGTTTGGTGTCTAATATGTGTGTTGCACCCCTGTTGTTTATTTACGCTGATATATTTGTATTATTTTAGTTTTTCTCTGTTTTGTTTCCGACGTTTGCCAGAAACGTCATCAACACACCCATTGCTTTGAGTCCTCAGGAGAATCGCTTAATGAACCCACTCATTATCTAGACCTTTTTACCAGGGAGCTGGCAGGAGAAACTCCAGAAAAAGTCCACCGCAACTGACTCAGACATTTGTGTTCTCAAGTTCAGCCCCTCTGAATAATTGCAAGATATCATGTTCAGCATTCAGTGCATGTCTGACAGCACCTTTGGTTTAATTAGTCTTAAAGGTCAGTAGTTGGGTGATTTATACTGAAATTCCCCATAACAGTCAGAGTTTACTTCTCCACTTCTACCATTACCAGATGCATTTCTTACACGAATGTTTGAAGCGATCTAATCTCTATTATTTATTTTGTATTTATTTTATGAACTCAACTATTTCAAAAGTAACCAGGGGAGTTTCATGTCCTCCTTTGAAATGCATTAATTGTCTGTTGTCTTAAACTGTCTCTGCAGAAAATGAACAGGACTTCTCGAAACTAGGGTGTCTGATATAATTCTTTATAATCTTGACACACAAATCCTTACTGGTTCAATTTCTATGAGAAAACATACATTTAAGGCCACAGATAATCACAACATCAGCAATGTGTCTGTGTCTGATTCATTATGCAGTGACATCGGCAATTTTCTCTTCATGAAAACTATCCCATCATACAAACATTCAATATTTCCAGACTGGGCCTTTTTTTTTTACGTACTAAATGTTAACACATCTCTCTCTCTTGTTCTCTTCCAGGCCATGGAACCAAAGGAGTGTTCGAGCTGCTAGCAGGCTGGAGGAGAACGAGGGAAAACCTCCCCTTCAAGGAGCGTGTGGCGGATGCTTTTGCTGATGTGATGGTGTGCTACACCATGACCAGCTCACTCTACATCATCACCTTTGGCATGGGAGCTAGCCCTTTTACCAACATCGAGTCTGTGAAAATTTTCTGTCAGAGCATGTGCGTAGCCATACTGGTCAACTACTTCTACGTCTTCTCGTTCTATGGCTCCTGCCTGGTGTTTGCTGGCCAGCTGGAGCAGAACCGCTACCACAGTGTTTTCTGTTGTAAAATCCCCTCAGTGGAGTATCTGGACCGCCAGCCCACATGGTTCAAAACTATGATGAGTGACGGCCATGACCTGTCCACGCACCACGACAGCGTACCCTACCAGAATCACTTCATCCAGCACTTCCTGCGAGAGCACTACACAGAGTGGATAACCAATACTTATGTGAAACCCTTTGTGGTCATTCTCTATCTCATCTACGCATCTTTCTCATTCATGGGATGTTTACAAATTAGTGATGGATCAAATATTGTCAACCTGCTGGCAAGTAACTCTCCGAGTGTCTCGTATGCTCTAACTCAGCAGAAATACTTTAGCAACTACAGCCCTGTGATCGGGTTTTATATTTACGAGCCCATCGAGTACTGGAACTCCACGGTGCAGGAGCACCTGAAGACTCTTAGTCACGGCTTTAACAAGATCTCCTGGATGGACAACTTTTTCCACTACCTGCGGGTGGTGAATGTGAGTGCGTCAACTAAGAGCGACTTCATCACCATCCTTAAAGGCTCCTTCCTGCGCAGCCCGGAATACCAGCACTTCACTGAGGACATCATATTCTCAAAGAACCGTGAGACTGACGAGTACGATATAATCGCCTCACGGATGTACCTGGTGGCGCGGACAACTGAGAAGAAGCGTGAGGAGGTGGTGGAGCTTCTGGAAAAGCTCCGTCCATTGATGCTTATCAACAGCATCAAGTTCATTGCCTTCAATCCCACGTTTGTGTTCATGGACCGTTACAGCTCTTCTGTCATCTCCCCCATCCTGACCTCAGGCTTCAGTGTGCTCACCATCCTCATCCTCACTTTCTTCCTGGTCATCAACCCCTTAGGGAACTTCTGGCTCATCCTCACAGTTACGTCTGTGGAACTGGGCGTCTTGGGTTTGATGACCCTTTGGAACGTCGGCATGGACAGCATCTCAATCCTGTGCCTTATTTATACCCTCAACTTCGCCATGGATCACTGTGCACCACACCTGTACACTTTTGTGCTGGCCACCGAGCACACTAGGACGCAGTGTATCAAGTTGGCACTGGAGGAGCACGGGGCTGCCATCCTGCAGAACACATCCTGCTTCGTGATCGGGATCATGCCCCTGGTGTTTGTGCCTTCCAATCTGACCTACACACTGTTCAAGTGCTCCCTCCTCACTGCAGGCTGCACTGTGCTGCACTGCTTCGTCATCCTGCCGGTCTTCCTGACCTTCTTCCCACCATCGAAAAAGAGACACAAGAAAAAGAAACGGGCCAAGCGGAAAGAGCGGGAGAGGGAGAGAGAGCGGGAAAGGGAGAGGGAAAGAGAAAGGGAGGAGATAGAGTGCATTGAAGTCAGGGAGAATCCTGATCATGTGACAAACGTCTGAGTAGTTTGTTATTTTAGCAGTGCATATCAGTGGGTCAGTTATTGGTTAAGGAGAGGTGTTCTCCAACTGTGAGGTGCCTCTACAGGTGCAGGGGAGCTTGATATGTCCCCTGAGGAGTGGACACCCGTCACTCCCAACCAATAGCAGCTAAGCTGGCCAGGGTAGAGCGCAGCCCCACTGGTCGGTCATTCAGTCCTTCAGTCTGGACAGTGCAACATGCTCATGGTTCTAAAGCTCTTTCCCAACTATTTGGTATAAAACACGAGTTAGTTGCCAGAACCTATGCTTGCTAAGTCTGTAGGTACATTCTAAACATACAGTGTGGTAGTCTATTATAGCAATAGCAATTCTAAGTTCATCTCCTGCAGCCCTTATCTCAAAGACAGTGAGTGAGGAGCAAAGCAGTCTGTAAAAGGAAAAGTTGGTGTAAAGTGCTTAGGGTGAAAATACACAAGTGCACATATTGAAAGTGGGCAGACGACGACTGTGATCGCACCTCACTCCTCACACCTCGGTAACAGCAAAAAGAAACAAAAGAAAATTCTGTGGAAAGAGAGAAACTGTGGACCTGGAAGCACACTGCATGCTTTTCTGTAACATGAAAACAAGCTGAACCAGGCAGATGGCATACACTGTGTCCATTGTGAAGAATTTATCTTTCACATTGCATCAAGTGAATAGTACTGTCAAGGTAATGAGGCAAATATGTCTGCTTTATTCCAGCAGTCATCTAAGGTATCAGACAATGGCAAAATATACCGCAGTGGGCTGCAGTATATGAGGTGAAAGTGATGTGTAACTATTTGGCAGCAGTATTTGAAAAGGCAGTAAACCTGAGGAGTTATATTAGAGTACTTGGGTAAATCCTAAACTGCTTCTGCAGATGACTAAAACCAAAAGTGAAGAGTGTCTTCAAGACTGGATATACATCCCAGCAGATTGATTACAATGGAACATTTTTGTGAGGGTATGAATGTGTTTGTGATCCACTTACAAAAGCTCACTGGCATGGTACTGGTAATTGGAAGGTCCAAATGTGATTCATTACTAGCAGTGGTGCCAAATGGTGTACAGAAACTTTTGTCCGACTGATTTCTATAAAAACAATGAAAGAAACAACGAAAAAGATGAGCTTTGTCCCGGCTAATTTAAATGATTGCTATTCAGTGTTGTTTGGGTTTGTGAAGCAGATTACGAAACAGGCTTTTAATTAAGCAGTGAGGCACTTTTTGTAAAGAACTCTGTCTTTGAATAGCGAGACAAATCAAAAGGAAAGAGCTGATGTGAAACTAGTAGGAAAATTCAATTCAAAAATCACAATAACATGTTAATAATACAAATTACTAAAAGTCCAGCCCTGCAACATAACCTTTCCTTAACATTTGCTTTTTTTAATTTAATATTTGATTTTCAGCCCTCAATAAGTAATAAATTATATTTTTACGCAGTCGATGGATCAAAGTGTGAAATGTAAGGTGTTGATCATCACCTGGCGCTTCAGTTCCCCTCAAGCTGTGCAGACCTTTTTAGCATTTTTCAGCTCATTGTTTTGGTTGTACAACCCACGACATGACTGTTTTGGTTCACTTCAACCACTTTCATCCACCTGGTTTGCAGCAGCGGGCAGTATTAGCCCGTGAAAAAGCTTTATCAATTTATCAACTCTACAAAATACCCTGCTTATTATACAGTCTTGGAATTCTAAACTGGCTGCTGATTCTCTGTGGGGTAAACAGTATAATCTGTGTCTGTCAAAGTCCGATAGGAATCTGTGATGCAGTCAAAAACCAAACACACTCAAGGTCAGCAGGCCCAGCTGATAGCGGCCTGAGACTGACCTCTGGCAGGCAGATCTTAGCTGGTGGCATGTGATAGAGAGGCCTCCTGTGAGCAGATGAGGCTGATTGCCAACCTGTCAATAATGTCTTAGGACACTGACTGTTCTTACAGGGCTGTCATTGAGGGGACACTGCTGTCTTTTCTCTGGGCTGCTACCAAGAAAGAGAACGTCTCTCAGCTAATCAGGCAGCTGGAAGGAGGATAGAATATTCATGCTGTACCACATGTCAGTGAGGGGTATCTGTTGTTTAACAACGACCTAATGCATTCA